TGATTTTTCAGAAGTAGATCTCCAGGCCTTTCTTTCAGAGTATCTCTGGTTGGACTTGAACTGCCAGCCTTTCATTTAGCAGTGAGTGAGTTAACCATTTGCACCACACGGGGATTCCATAGAGAAAAACAGAAGTGACCATAGTATGTGAAAGATTGAAGCCCATGGGAGAATCTCAGCCAGAAGAGTCAGTTTTGTATTGGAGAAACAAGGGAGGTGTGTAAGATATTCCAGGGTATACACTGTTTTCAGAGAAATAGTGTAGAACTCTGCTATCCAATATATAGGCACTGCCCACATATGGCAGTTGAACACTTCAAATGTGGCCAGTTGAAATTGAGACATGCAGTAAATGTAAAGATATACACCAGGTTTCAAAGACTTAGTATGAAAAACCAAATATAAAGTATCTCAATTTTCTATATTGATAGCATGTTGCAATGATAACATTTTGGATGTATTGAGTTAAAGAAAACATGTTATTAAACTTAATTTCACCTGTTTCTTTTTACTTTTTTTAATATGGCTACTACAAGATGGATTGACACAGTGGCTGCAACAGTGGGCTCAAACATAGCAACGATTATGAGGATGGCGCAGGACCGGGCAGTGTTTTGTTCTGTTGTACATAGGGTTGCTATGAGTTGGAACCAACTCGACGACACCTAAAAACAACAACTAGAAAATGTAGTGAGACTCCCATCATATTTCTGTCAGATAGGACTGGATAGAAGATTCTAGAAATTTTTGGTACTCAAACATGTATTTTGAGGAATTGTGTAAGAGTTTTTTTTTGAGGTTTCTTTTGATTTTACTTTTCTTTCATGATCTTCTATTCCTAGAAGTATGGCCATTACTGAACCAAGATGCTAGACCTTATTGGTAATTTTATTGAATACATTATGTATGGTTTAGTAGATGGACCACAAACAATTACAAGAGCCTAGGGTTAAAAGATCTTTTCCATATTTTACCCATTCCAAAGAAAGGAGAGCCAACAGAATGTGGACACTATCAAACAATATTATTAATATCACACACAAGTAAAATTTTGCTGAAGGTTATTCAAAAAGCGGTTACAATAGTACATCAACAGGGAACTGTGAGAAATTCAAGCCAGATTCAAAAGAGGATGTGTAATGAGAGATAATCATTGCTGATGTCAGGTGGATCCTGGCTGAAAGCAGACAATACTAGAAAGATGTTTACCTGTGTTTTATTGACTATGTAAAGGCATTCCACTGTGTGGATCATAACAAATTATGGATAACATTGCAAAGAATGGGA